AAATAAACATTTTGTAGACAAATATAAACCATGTTAAATGACCTTTATATTAAAAACTCTAAGTAACTACACAAAACCTACGAAACACTCCTTTTACATTCACTGGGAAAGGGAGTTACTTTAGTTGGAATAACTATACGTTCATCAAGACAGGAGTCTGTGCACACACCAACTGCACAGCATGCACGGACAAGAAGGATAAATAGAGGTGCACAAAAAATAATGTTTGATTAACACTAGTGCCAAAGGTCTCTGTTAGGATCTAGTTGTCCCAAGTGGATTAATTTATTACGTAAGAGAGGTGGCGCTGTACCAGGGATTTGACAATATCTTATTTATTCTTGAAACATTATGCCTCCATCCAGAAAACGCCAAGATGCTGAGGGCTTTTTTTGATCCTGTTTTCATACACATGCACTGCACTCTAAGCTTCCCACCTCTGTATTTCGAAGCAGGAGAGTTTTGTAAAAAGCAGTTCATAGAACAAGCAAAGGGAAGTGAAAAGCAAAACACCGTTATCCCCAGCGCACTGCAACATTTATCTATCCCTGAAAATACCATCCACTTACAGAATCAGTACAGACTGGATAGATTTCTGGGGGCAAGCCAAGTCATGCATAAGCACAGTTTTCAAGGACTGTTTCTTGCTTGAAGAAAAAATTGAAGCCACAGAAGCACAGAATTGTTCAGTTTGCAAAGATTCTCCAGGACCATGTGCAGAGGAGCTTTGAATATCTCCAAGAATGACTGGAGCCAAATCAGTCTTTGTTTAAGTTTGCCTCCCTCTGACTTTTCAGGAATGATTGACGTATTTTCTCAGGTGACAGTCAACTCTGGTGCTATTGTTTCAGTTTCTGTCATCTCAAATTAACAACTCTGCAGCGGTTTACTCTGCCTGTCTTCCCAACAGAAGGGCTGATAAATCATTTTTAAGTTGCTCTTTAGATTTTTATAAAAGTCTAAACCAGCAAAATCTTAAGGCAAACAACTGAAATAGTCTGTATCCTTAAAATATCAGAATATTGCATTCTCTGGCCATGATTTTCTGTTACCCAGTATGGGAACAGTGTCCTAGGCTGACATGTAAAAGACAGACAGCTAACTAAAATGGCACAGGATGCTCTTCCTGTTGCCAATTCATATCTAAAAACTGACAGAAAAATATACTCCCAGTGACAGCTCTGAAGTAAGTCAATGTGTGACAGCAATCAGTTCTCTTCTGTCAAGTCAGGTTCCAGGAAGAAGTATAGTTTTTTAGGCTATGTGCCAACACTGTCAAGGAATAAGGACAACGGCACAAAGTAGCACTTGGCTGTTTCCCTCAGAAATGAAGATTATGGGCTTTCAGCAAAGAGAAGAGCTGGCTACCTGAAATAAAAAAATTTCTAGCAGACTGTGAGGAAATCAAGTCATAATGGCTGGCCCAAAGATGTGCTCTGAAATGGAGAGAATCAATAGAAGAGTCTGTATCTGTACAAGATGGGTTTGAGGAGTTATTAATGCCAAAAAAATAGAGAGAAGGAATCAAACTACAAGAGTCAGAGGGCTTCACATCAACTATAAGGATGTGATAAAAATCAAAGCAAGAACCAGTATGTGTGCAATCTCAGTTTTACCTGTTAGAGTAAGGGACAGATGAGTGGCAGCGCCTGTGATGGAAAAATAATGGTTCAGAACCATATCACATCAGGGAACAAAGACCAAATGTAAAGGTGAGAGAGATATCCTCACCTCTCATGAGGAAAAAAAACCTCTCTGCCTCTTTCTATCACAGAGCTCTTCCTTCTGACAACTCACAAGAGCAGACAATCTGATATTAGGCCATAGAAAACCCGTTATAAACTTCTGGAGTACTAACATCACTGATAGAAAATGGTTATTTCCTCTCTCTGGACTGTCCCTAGCTAATGGTGTCTCTGTTCTTGTCTTTCACAACAGAAACAAAACATTTCAACAATACTGAAGAAGCTGGTATGAAACCCGGAAACAGGAATGTGAAAACGTTATATGAGAAATGGAACAGAAAGAGAGTGGGAAGAATTGTGCTCTACTAGAGAAAAGGAGAGTAATACAAGAGTTAAGGATGGAAGATGGTGTGAGATAGTCAAACAGAACATCTGTAGGCAAGTAATGTTTGAGCCTCTTCAAAATCCACGAAGATGATAAGTAAAATATAATGTCACAAGGGAAAGTTAACATTACCCACCTTACCCCTCATGGTGACAAGGTTTAAGTAACTATGCATATAAACCCACGAAACTAAACAGGGAATATAGAGAATGGAGAGAGGGTGTGATGCTTGGGATGTGTCCAAGTGGAGGCATCAGAAAAGTCAGATAAGAAATCTGAGCACATTAATGACTGAAATGGCCATGTTACATGACTGGTAGTGTCTGTGCTGTCTACATGTGTCTAGTCTAGCACAGCCCCATGATCAGTTGTACTCTTTAATTATTAGCGTTTTCTGTTCAGCAAAACAACCAACCACAACCAGTTTGGATGAGGTTAAACTGCGTTAAAAGCTAAGGGAATTTAGGCATCAGCCATGCTCTACCCTCTGCCCATGGGACTAGCAAACAGGTCTTGACCAGCTTTAATTAACATCCTAAATGCAAGCTAAGAGACAACTAGGTAGAGTCACATGGGGACTCCATCTGAGGTAACAGTAAATATCTGGGGCAGAAGAAATGTTTGAACATTGACAGTGACAGAAAGAGGATAAGATAATGACGGAAAGAAGGAGCAGGCAAGCTACTGAATGAGAACGTGAAAAATTAGAAGTTTGATGTCAACAGAATTGGATTTATCAGAAACAGAATGCTATGAAAAGGAAGAGAAAATAGGACACTTGAAATACAGAGCTTAAGATGTAAAGCCAGTAAAAACAACTCAAAGCTGAGAGATGATATTAAAGTAACTGATCAAACGGAAGCTGTTATAAAATCTTAAGTGCTGCATGGGTAGGGCAGTGGTGTCTGTGAGAGAAGAGCTAATGAGTCAACAGGGTTGAGGAACACGAAAGACCTGGGAGTCTGAGTGATGCCAAAATATGCAATATGCATGGTGAGAACTGAGAAGGATATTACAGCCTGTTTCCAAGAATGGAGGGGTGCAAGAGGATTAGAAGAGCGTGAGAAAGTTATAGCACGGTGCTGAGGGAGTCATGTCAGACAGGCTGACATTCAAGTATTAAACTGAGTAACGTTTCATGTAGACAACTAGTTTCAACTCTAACTTGGGCTTGCATTTAAGATAAATTCTATGGTTTACCTGGCTCTGGATTTCAGAACTTTCCACTCATTCAGAGCCTTGAAAGATCCCTCAAGTTTCTGTGCTTTTACATGGGCTGCCTTTCAGCATAATTCAAGTGCACCCCTAGGAGGATGCTATTTCTCTAAGCTTTCTCAGCTTCTCCACTTTCAATTTAAAACCCAGTATTTCCTTTTGGTTTGATTCCCATTTACCCTTAACCATGACAATGTAGCTATCAGCCTTGCCATCTCTCATTTGTCACTTTACAAATTGACAGATGACTGCTATGACAGTAGGGCTAATCCATATCTATAACGTAAAGTCTTAAGAAATATTTAAAAATTAACAATAAACTGTCACCTCTTGGTTATGCAAATCAAGAACAAACCCTTCAGGTAGCCTTTTTAACAATGAAAAATGTTGGTTCAGTAGTTAAATGATACCATGCTGCTGGCTGCAAAGTTGATTAAAGAAATTTCTGCACTGTAAATTGGAAGAGAACAAAAATAGTTTATATATAAAATAATTCCTTCTACATGCCCTAAGCCCTTACAAAACTCAGTGAACTTCAGAATTTCATAGTACCGTGGCAACTAAAGGGAACAGCAAAGTGTAACAAAGACACAGGAATTACACATTTCAATAAGAGAAGTACTGAATCTTTATTGCAAATTAAAGACGGTTGTCAAAGCTCAGCCTTAGTTGCCCTTGCCACCTGCCCTTTGTCTTTGAATTCACTCAGACAATCCCTGAACACTATAATGACTAAAGAAGAGGGCTCACCATACCCAAGTCAAGCTTCTAGCAGTATTTTTGGAAATGTCTATGTTCTTGCAATGGGTTTATTCAATTCCTCTGTCAAGCATGGTGATTGCTAACTAATAGAAGCAAAATACCCATTACTTGATAAAGCAGACCTTGGGCTCTGACCTAGGTCATAAACGTACTGAAAACAAATCTCAGCAAAAGCGGACCTTGACAGCAAGTTCAACATTATGACAGTTGTCTCCAGTCCTGCAAATTCACACCTGAGCCAAAGAACTCCTACTGAACCCAAGAGGTTCTGCATACTCTCCACCTTGGATTTCACAAACAACTTATGTTTGCACCGTGCATCAGTTGTGACTCAGATGCTTTTAATCTCACCTCTGCACGACTATAAACTGATTCTAATAATTTGTACTGCACAGATTCTCAGATGCAGGTGTGCAAACACAACAAAATCAAGCCACAAGACATTCAGTATTTTCTTGGGGAAAAAAAAAAACCAACAAACTGCTGCAATTGACAAAAATGTCTAAAAGAGGTCAAAAACGGATATAAGTTGCAGTTAACTAAGTAGGCTCCTTTTCTAAATCAAGTCTTGCATCTAAGAAGGAAAGAAAACCCCGTCATTTATATCACGTGGTTTACGGGGCTGGGGCTCTAAGAGCATCATGACATTCACAACGAGGAGTCAGCAACGATAGCCTGTTTCTCGCTGGAGTCACCCAGCACCTCGCTGTCACGTCCCAGTTCCCGCACCACAAACACAGCACAACCCCAGCAACTTCTTCAGGCGTCCTGAGCTCCGCGCAGCCCTCTACATCACTTCAGCGAAACCGAGGTGACCCCGACCAGCCGTCTCCAGCATCTCTTCCCTCCGACTCTCCGACTGGGCATCAGCTGCCCGGCGGCGGGTCGCAGGTGAGAAGGGTCCCAGGGGCGGCGCTGCCACGGGTGAGAGCTCTCGCCAGGGCAAGCCGTGCCTGAGGTACCGTTTCGGACCCACCGCGGTCCGTACCACCCCGGGCGGGGGGCCACGCTGACCGATTCCCCAGGGAGCGCAGCCCCCGGCCCGCCGCAGCCGGAGTGCCCTACCGTGAGGGAGGGACAGGGGAGGCGGCCGGAGAGGGTAGGGGAGGAGTGAGGCAGAGGGCAGGGCCGGGAGTCGCCGCACCGCAGAGAGCCGGGGCAGCGCTCTTGCCGGCCCGACAGCGCCGGAGCGGAGGGTCCCGCCGCCGCCGAGCTCGCTATGTTCGGCCGCTCCGAACCGGCCGCCGCCGAGCGCGGCCGCCCCCAGCACGCCGCGCCCAGGTAGGGCCCGCTCCCGCGCCCCTCCCCGCGAGCCGCCGCCTGCGCGCTTGGGGCTGCGCCGCGTCGCAAGGGGCTGCCGCCGCCTGTGGCGAGGAACACCTCCGGTGCCGCCTGCCCGGCGAGTAACGGCTGCCTGCGGTCCCCGCTCGGGTGCCCGCTGCCTGCTCGGCGAGTGACGGCTGCCGCCGGTGCCTGCCCGCTGGAGAGCGGCTCCGGGCGCCCGCGGGTCCCGGCTGCCTGCCCGGTGAGTAACAGCTCCGAGAGCTGGCGGGTCCCCTCCCGGTAAGGAGCCGCGCCGGGCGCCCTCCGCCGCGGACCCCTGCCAGTGCTTACCACGGCAGACCGCAGGAAAGCGGTGTCTCCCGTCTGAGAGCGGTAGCGGAGGAGCGGGCACACAGCGGCGGCGCGGCCGCGGAGGCTCCGAGCTTCGCTCCTGCGGTACCTGTGGGGGAACGCGGCCGAATGACCGCGGGCGGCCGGCTGTGTGGAGCCGCTGCCGGCGGGAGAGGCCGGGCTGGAGCTGAGGAAGAGAGCAGCCGGAACGGGCACTGCAAATTCGTGTCCAGCTCCAGAGGGGATGGGGATGTGCAGCTACGCGCCAGAAGGTGGTCAACCGCCATGGCTTTACTCCTACACAAAAAGCAGAAACTAAAGGGCTTTTCTTGAAAGAATATATATATATTTATATATATTTATATATATAAATAAAGGGGGGGTGGGGGGAAGTGGGGATTTGTCATCTGATTTTCCTACAACAGCTGGTTTCCATACCGTAGCTTCTTAAGAGTTAATTAGTGCTTAATAAAATACCCTTAAGGAGATTGTGCTTAAGCCACTTCGATGCACGTACGCTACCTAGTGAATCAGAGGATTTGACAATGGAAGAAAAAGCTAAAAAATCACTGTACTTTTCTTATCCCAGCTCACGTATTTATAGCTCTTATGAACAGCAGATTAGAGCAAAACTTCCTTCAAGACGGAAATTGATGCACAGATAGAAGTAGCCTGCCGGAGATGCAAGATGTGGTTAAGCATAATTTTCAACAATCACAAGTAAATTGCATTTTGATGATGGCAGACAGAAAGCGTTATAGAAATTGTAGCATTTAAGTATGATAGAGACTATCAGAGATAAAAAGCATATGTTGCAAATTATTACAATTTGTTTTGGTTTCGTTGCTTCCAGTGCAGTGTCCCAATGAGAAATGAAGGGTACAAATAATGAAGTTCAGAGAAAACACAGCCATAAAAAGAAGGTAGTGAAACCTGAATACTCAAGAGGAACTGGCAGGGGGACAGGAGGACGCACTTAAATTGGGTGATAACTACTTGCAGGAGAGATTGCTTTTGTTTATTTGGAAGAAAAAAAAGCTTTAAATCAATCCCCCAAAAGAGAGTTGACAGAGTAGTGTTTCATATCAATAAACTTTTACCACCTGATGCAGAAATAGCCCTTCCTGATTTTTGCCTTGGCTTTTCAAGGGAGGTGAGAAGGATTTAGTTTGTTAATCATGGTGAGCAATTTTATATGCAACTTTTACACACCAAACATCAAGGTGATCGTACAAAGTTTAGGATTTTATGGGAAGCCACAGTCTGAAAGTCAGGGACTCAAAGTGTAAGGCCAGAGAGACTTTTAGGTTACCTGATCTGATATTTCACACTCTGCAACAAAAAAATAGGTAGAGTGTGATCTTGACCCCAGTAACCTGGGTCAGGATAAAACAGATATTCTAAAGAGGCAGTCTTAAAGATATTAAGAAATAGAAAAGCTGTCACTTCCCTTGCTTATGATGTTACTTTCATTGTTACATGTTTACCTCCTCATAGGCGTACAAACGTCTTCCGGCTCCACACAGCTGTTGCTAGGCTTTTCATCACTGTGTAAAGCTGAGGAAACCAGTTCTACTCCACTCCAGAACTCTGCCATCAGACCATCTCTTCACTTCAGCTAGGCCTATTACCCAAAAAACATAATCTATTTCTGTAGGAAGGCCAAGGTTTATTTTATTCCTGCAAACAGCAAACCTGTTTCTTCTTTCTAAAGAGTGATTTTTCTTCCTTCTATAGTTTAAGCAAGTCAGAGTTCCTTTATCAAGAACCACGGTTATCTTTGTCACCTCTTTATCTCCTGCAGCTGCAATGTTGACAGCTGCTTGTTATTTGTTAATCCAGGCAGCCATTTCTTTGCTGAACAACTACGTAAACTTCATTCTTTCCCTGAATAAGGGTCAGAGGACTCTAGGAAAAAAAGGTGACCAGAACAGCAAATAATTTATTCAGACCATTCCTGTATTCACCAGGAAACCATAGGGAAAAAAGCACACCTGACAATCCAGGGGACAGATAACTTGTCCTCACACACCTTCAGCTCATCATGTCCACAATATTTGGGTAACTTTAATTGGGAAATAGTTACAGCAGCTGTGAAGAAATACAAAGAGTGTTAGCATTTAGGACGTAGCTTTACATACGTTACCAAAGAAAGTTTTCAGTAGTGAACTGTTATAAATCAAATAGTATTTTGCATCTTCCCTACAGGTTCAATTTGGGCATTGGACTGTTTTTGTGGCTACTCACACCTGGTCTCACTCACCAATGCTGCAGCTCTGCCCATCTTGCTTACTCTTCTGTCACACACAACAGTCACTACCTGAGTTCAGCGTAAACCAAAAGTGCATATTAGTTCCAGCTCAATACCTTCCCTTGTTTTGGCTTCCATATCCAAGGCAAAAACATAAGCCCCAGGTCTGGATGCCTTGCAGCCACTGTGGAGCCCAGCAGAGCAGGCTAGTGGCCTTTGGGCATCTACTGATAAATTAACATTTCTGGCAGTAGCTTCTTGCAATGAATGCTTATTCTGAGGATCAAACAAGCAGCTGCAGAAAACTGCACAGAACTGGTAGCTATCACCTTTTCTTCAAGCAGCTAAGAGACATATTTGGTTCACATCAAACTCAAGAGGCTGGAACTGTGGTCGATAATGATTTATTGGAAGTTTTTATGATGGAGAAACAAAACCACATTAAGATCATGCATCTAACACTTTGCCTCCTCACGTAAGAGGCAGTAAGAAAACCACTTGAATTTCTTATGTATGAGCCACGAACTTTTGTCCTTCTGTCCCTTGTGTAAGCCAGTGACTATTTGGGATGCTGTTGAACAGCTGCCTAAGGAAAGAGACACTACTTTTGGTAAAAACTGCAGTTTTTCTGCTCAAGCTTATGAAACTAAACGTATATACATATGCAATTTTTGACCAATGCTGTATATCTGAAATTAGTCTTACCTGACCTTCAGACATGTCTTTTGGACTGGCATATGTTTTCAGCACACCTTTTGTGTGAATACTAGAAAGAAAAGGCAGGATAATCAGTGTTCTTCAGTTCATAATTAGAAACAATACTGGAGCTTAGAAGCAATATTAGACTGAACACTAATTCAGAAGAATTAAAATGCCTATCCATCCAACAAAGTTGAAAAGTATAGACTGTGTATTTTAAACCATGAGAAGACAAGCCCAAACAATGTCAGCTAAAAGTTTTGTACCACCAACACAGAATGAAATATCTCTGCTACCTACCAGTGGTACCTGGCATGGCAGAAAACTTTTGCACATATTGCTCAGAGAATGGTTAAGAAAAGCCTTTCTAGTTTTATATGGTTGTATTGAAAACCAAGCATTTTTTACTACTGAGGAATATGCTAGGGTCTACCACAGATGCAAAGAGGTAAGTTAAGATATTCAGAGGAGATCAAAAAGCTGAGGCTGTATTAGACCTTTCTTACAGACAGTAAGCAGGGGGCACCCACTCATTGCCATTTGTAACTTACACAGTAACACTAATGTCACAGACTTCAGCTGACAGCTGTGCTTGTGGTCCAGCAAAGCACACATCTTGTATAACGTAGAAAACAGATTTGGTGTCTTACTAAGATGCTTTTAGAAACAAGTTAAATAAAGCTTTGGTCCTTTAAGGAGAAAAAATTTTAGGCAAAGACTCAAATTATGAAGTTCAACAGTCATGGGTGTAAGCTAGAGATAACAGTTTCTTATAAGAAATCATAAATAAATAATAACTGCAACAACAAAAAGAAAAGCAGCACATAAACCAACAGGAATCAGTACTAAGAATTTATTTTGAACAACTGTCAGTGATGAGTGGAATTAAATTGGCAGAGACAGAGGATGATGGGTGGTATTTGGTGAGACTGGTGAGACATAGCTTACAGGTCTGGTCTCCATATTTTTCCACTCGTATGAGAAGAAGAGAAACAAATGTATTATAGATCTCATTTAAATAAGAGAAGGGAAATAAAAAAATCCCCTGAACAAGAGTGTAATATCAGAACTTCATTATCAAGAGAACTGCATGCATTACAACAGTAGCTGATATCACATATGAGGATGAAATCTCCTTTTCTGCGCTTGTGCAGAACCAGTACTGCAGCCCAACCAGAGAAATCAGTTTAATATGTGCTGGGTATGCTTTTCATTTGCAAATTAGCAATTAATTTACCAGATGCTTTGAGCGAAGTGGGCAGAAAATTTATCTAACGCTATGCAATCATTTTGGATTTCACTACCTTCTTACAATGTCGGTTTGATTGTCAGTGGTGGGAATTCTTGAAATGACATGCTGCATCCTGTTTTTATGGGGGATTACTTTAAACAGTTCATTAACCTGGCTAACCTATGTTGTCAAACATAGACAACAATTATCAGATATGTTTTCCTTCAGTGAGGTCAGGGGAGAAAAATTTCAGCTGAACCAAGAAGGAACTTAAATTGCTGAAGGTCATAAGTCTGTGGATGAGGAATCTGATCACTTTAGAGTGGGACTGTGGGTGACAGGAGGGAGAGTTAGGATCATAGAATCAGGTTGGAAAAGACTTTTAAGATCATCAAGTCCAACCATTATCCAACTGCCAAGACCACAACTAAACCGTATCAGTGAGGGATTTCTTTACTACTTCACTTGCAGAAGTAGTAAATAAAT